CCTCCTAGCTAATGAAAAACTACGTATTGCTCTTTCGCTTCTCCCATAATGCAACACATTGCTACCTTTAAAGTGAACTATTCCTTACTTTTAGATTCTAAAGGATATAGTCTTTTACAATGAATGTAAATAATTTAAAGGCCGTTTCTAAAGGGGCACAAATGTTTAACCCGACCCTAAACGAGCCAATATTTCAAATAACATTGAGCCAAATCATTTGTGCCCAAGCAATAACAAAAACCCTCAGCTTAGTAACTTTGTTTTTGGCCTTCCAGATTGCATGGAGTTACACATGGATTCATTTTTCAGCATCCACAAGATATATTTGAAATTAGTTCAGTCCAACTCTTGAAAATAATAAATATGCGGAATGAGAATGTTCTATTTATCCCATTTGTCACCTATTCCCTTATTTTTCATGAGGATTTTTTAAAATTTATCACAATAGGCAGGATGAGATAAGTGGCGATCACAAAGAAGCTTTCTACCTTAAGCAAGGTATTACAATGGCAATTCACCATAGCAACTGCATTGCTATTGGTTCCAAGTAGCAATGTCAATATCATCTATCTTTTTAAAAATATTTATTGTTTTCTTTTAAATTTTCTAATGGTCCGTCACATTTAAAATTTATGTAATGATTTGGAGTCACTTCATCATGCGACACTTAATCACGGCTGCACTTTATCATGAGGATACTTCATCACGACGACACTTTATCACTCAGTCTTTATATCACGCGTCATTTTATATTGCGACACTTAAAAATTATAAATAAGAAAATTTAAGTGTGTTGTTTTTGTTATATTTATTATTAACAATAATAAAATTCTCATCTCTTAAAACTCTTGAAAAAATGTATTTATCTATAGATATTCTAAGTCATTCGTTTTTTCACAAAGATTTATTTTAGGTTTTGTATTTATCCATAATTATAAATATATATATATTAGCTCAATTTTCTATATTATTATATATTAAAGAATATATTTTTATTAATTATAATGTTAGAATTTGGATTTAAATCAAAAAATACATTTACCTAACTCGTGATATATTGATTTATAGTTACTAATAATAAGTATAATTAAAATCATTCTTATTGCTTAAGTTATGGGTGATTCCATGTCAAATAGACCAAAAAAACGAAATTTTCGGCCGACCATCTCAAATATGAATGAAACTTTGCATGTTAGTTATTTATGTTGTAAATCTTAAGAAAATCAAAATTTTAGAGTGCTAGCTCAATCGGATTCAAAGATATACGCCTTCAAAGTCGAAAATTGCGAAGTGCGTGATTTCTTTAAATCGTGTTTTTAAAAAAAATACTTAAGATAGAGTTACAAATTATATATCATTTTATAGCCCTTAAAATTTTACGTTGGAAAATATAAAAAAAATTAAAAAAATTTCAAGTGTTTTCTTATTTCCGGCAAAAATAAAAAATTAACATTGTTAGGAAGGGATTTTTTTTGGGTGTTAATATTCACTAAAAAGGTTTATTACCTTTATATTAAACGATTTAATAAAAAATCTCGATAGCCATTTTTGTTTTTTTAATTTTATTTGAATTTTTATTATTTTTATAAATAAAAGAATGTAATATAGATGGCGTAAAAATATGAATAGTATTGTGATTAAAATTAAAAAATCAATTGATTATAACCTAGAATGATGTCATGAGGCGATATGTAAGCAGGCAGCCCATACAGATATTATTTTATTTGGATACAAAAACAATTATAAAAAAACAACCTCTTGTTTTAATCTTATCCCATTTTGTTCTTTTTAATAGAATTTCTTGAGACGATAATTTGTAGGTACGTCCTGTCACTATAATAGGATCTACAACTGTTATTATTTGATTAATGGGTAACCATATCTTTTCCGCAATTGTAAGGTAAAAGAAGGATATTGATGGTCCATGGGGATGTAAAAAGGAAATATATCTCCTCAGGGGATGTAAAAAGGAAATATATCTCCTCAGTAAATTCATTCTTTTTAGTACTGTGGCTAACCACCAAAAATCGTCATAAACAATTTTAAGAATCCTTTAATATCGGCAAAAGACAAATTATCGGCATTTGAGATATTGTTAATTTAAAAGTCCTCTGCATATGAATATATTTTTGATTTAAGTTTACTTAAACTCAAAGGAAATACAGAATGTATTTCCCGAGTTCCTAGAATGGGACGAGCTAAATTGAATCTTTCTCGTAGTTTAATCTCTTGTAAATTGTATTGGTCGTTGGTTATATATGTAAAATTTACTGATGGCATGTTTTGTTTTGCAAATTGATATAAATCAACTGACGTTAAAATGTGTCCAGAATTGATGCGCTGAAGGCTTGAACGTGATGCTAATCTTTTTAATGTTCAGCCAAGACCGTCACATGGACCTTTTCCATGGGATGTAGCTAAGCTGAAAATGCCATTCAGCTGCTACACCAAAATCTGATAGATGATAACACAGATTTATAAAAAATTTTCTGTTTTATATTGCGCAGCTGATGCATCAGAGCAGTAATATATTTTGTTTGGCTTTTTGCTGAATTGATTAGTCAAAAATTTTATAATTTTTGTCTGGTATAAATGTACTGCAATAACATTATTGAACAGTGTCTTAGATTATAAATGCATAATTTTCAGAGAAATCAAAAATTATCATAAATTCTTTTGGTTGTAAAAAATGTTTAAGTTTTGAAATATATGATGATTGATTGGTAGCGATGATAGGAATAAAAAAATAAAATAAGCTGATAAATTTTCAAATAATAACGATAGTAGATCCACAACAATGAAAGGATATATCTACAAATTATGGCCTTAGGAATTTCTATTAATAAGCGCAAAATTATAATAGTTTGAATATAAAATTTTAAAATATGTTTATTTTACAATGTAGCGTCAATAAAATCTGTATGGGCTGCCTGCTTACATATCGCCCCAGGACATCATTCTTGGTTATACTCAATTGATTTTTTAATTTTAATCATAATACTATTCATATTTTTATTTAAAATTATTATAAATTTTTTTAATATAACGCCATCTATATTGCATTTTTTTATAAAAATAATAAAAAATCAAATAAAATTAAAAAAACAAAAATGGCTATCGAGATTTTTTTATTAAATAGTTTAATATAAAGGTAATAAACATTTTTAGTGAATATTAACACCCAAAAAAAATCCCTTCCTACAATGTTAATTTATTATTTTTACCGGAAATAAGAAAACACTTGAAATTTTTTAATTTTTTTTTATATTTCAACGTAAAATTTTAAGGGCTATAAAATGATATATAATATGTAACTCTATCTAAGTATTTTTTTTAAAAACACGATTTAAAGAAATCATGCAAAATCACGCACTTCGCGATTTTCGACTTTGAAGGCGTATATATTTGGATCTGGTTGAGCTAGCACTCTAAAATTTTAATTTTCTTAACATTTACAACATAACTAACATGCAAAGTTTCATTCATTTTTGAGATGGTCGGCCGAATCATTGGTCGATTTGTCATGGAATTACCCTTATGCCTTCTGTTTCCCTAGATAAGATTATAATTATTTTTAAAAAATTATTATGAAAATTAAAATTGAATTTTTTTTAAATATCGAAATTTAAACGGAAAAATAAAAAAATAAGATATTATCAAAATTTAACTTTTCAAATATATTAAATTAAGTTTCAAGTATATCATGATAAAGTGTCGCGTGTTCAAATGACTGAGTGAATAGTGTCGTCCTGATAAAATGTCATCAAGAGTCTCCGTGATAAAGTGTCGCATGATAAAATGTCGCTAGGTGCTTGTAATTGTTATTTGTTTTAATATGTACATCTATTGATACAAGTTTATTAATGGAAAAATAAAGTGATCTAATTTAAAAAAGGTTATTTTATAGGTTTTTTCTTTACATAGTGTTTATTTAATAAAATTATTTTATAAGTTTTCCCTTTATATAATGTCTACTTTATAAAAAATTATCCTTAATCATAAATGATTATATAATTTTAGTTATTATTTTTACCTCTTTGGGCTTGGGACAGGTCGTACTTAAATAATTTGTAATTAAACACTGAGAATAGGTGGTAGCAGGCTAATATTTCATCTTGGTTCCTGCAAAAAAGTGGTTAAAGTTCAAACACCTCTTATTTTATAATAGAAGCTGTAATATTCATAATATATGATGTATTTTAGCGACTTTATAGAGAGTTGCTAAATGTCTAGATACATGTACCAATACAAAAATATTGTATGTCTATCGAATCTAAATTCATTTGAAACAATTTTTAAAAAAATTAATCTTATTTTTTGTACTAAATTTATTGATATCTGTCCAAGTTTATTTCTCATAAAGAAGACTAATAATAATCTTTATATAAACAAGTTTTTAGATGATTAATAGTGGTACTGACAAAGAAGAAATAGCCAACACCGCATCAGAAAAATTTTCAAACTTGACTTCAAATTTAATGAAAAAAAAGGATTGACCCATGGATTAGTTGATGAACTTTTAAAGTTTTCAAATAGTACTAATCGCAGAAAAAAAAGAGGGATTTAATATATAAAAAATTCAACACCACCCAAGAGGACATGGATATAAATTGTAACACCCATCAAACTTTGAATCATTATTTTAAAAATGAGTGTCAGGAATTTACTATTAATGGCCATTTTTTAGAAGAGAGAAGCATGGGGAGAGGGGGGTGGTTTGTTAGCTTAAAATAATATTTAAAGTAATCAGGCAAATTTACGGGGATTTCCCTTGCCCCCTGCCTACATAGCCTGATTATAAATTTATAACCAGTTATTAAATTATATCTATTCTTTGTCTATTAACAAATCTACTCCATTTATCTGCAACATAAATACTAAATATTCATTATCATAAGAAAAATCAATTTGGGTCCTGGAAATTTTTAAGATTTCTGCAATATTTTTTTTCTCCATTTAAGTAGTCAAACAAAAACTTCAGAAATAAAATAAATATTAACTTTTTCGTTTGCTATTATCCAACTTGGTGGAACACATGGCTTCCTTGAGAAGTATAATTCCCAGGGTTATGGCTGCGTAGAGTATGATAACTATGTAGCTTTCCACTATGAATTGTGCTCTACCATCATGTCTGATATAATTCTTTAAATATTAAATGATATATAACAAATATGATTAATATTGCTGGGAGTAAGTGAAGAGATAAAAATTTTTAATAGTACTCGAATTTCTGGTCATCCAATAAAATAAGAAATATAGATATTGGAGAAATAAAAATCTCAATAGTAGTCAAATTTCTGGCCATTCAATAAAATAGGAAATATGGGTATGATATTTTTTTCCAAAAGAAATTATTATTATGTTAAAAATTGGTACTTTAGGCCACAAAAGAAGAAATTAAAAGATAAGTGAAAAAATTATATGAAGCAATAATTATTAGGTTATTGAAAGTGAAACCCTATCTTAACATATTAGAACTTTTGACTTTATATCAGGGCTGGAAAACAAATAGAAAAAATTTTGAAAATATAAGAGCTTTTGATTGTAAATTATTCAAATTTTCAAAAACAAAAAAGTTTATTGGAAAACATCTTAGGGTTGGTTCAGGTCAATCTCCAACTAGAATGCTAAATCAAATTAGGTGTATAGGTGATATATTATTAAATTCATGGTAACTTAGATTTATTTTGTTGATTCAGAAAAATATTTAAAAACCAATATTTTTTTCAAAGATTCATACTCAAAAACAAAAGCTTAAAATTCAAAAAACATTTTTTGTTTTTTATTTTCCCAGTCCTATTATATATACATAGACCTGTGCGCCGGCCGTGGGTATGCCGAAAACGCCGCCGTTTATGAAAATTGCGCCGGCGAGCCGCCGATTTTCATATCGCGGCCTACGGCCGGCGCAGAATTTTTTTCCATATTTTATACCTTTTTATTCTAATAATTGGTCAACATCACTGTTGTAATTTTATTAATGCCAATCAGGATTTTAATAAATTTTTATTTTCTACATGTTTTTATTATATAATAGGAATTAATAAATTAAAATAGTTATTAAATAGCAATATATTTAAATTATATTTCACGCACTCATTAAATTTTCTTAGATCTTGATAGCACTGATCCATACCCAGATACCCGTTTTCAAATTGGAAATTCCAATGATAATAATAATAATTCCACGCATATGAAAACTTTAAAATTAAATGTCCCAACACGTTGGCATAGTATATTAATTATGCTAGAAAGCATATCGGGATTAAATAAGAATTTAATAAATAATGTTTTAAAAAGAATTGGGAAACACTTTCTAAAATTATCAACCTATGAATCTGATCTGGTAGAAGAACTATTGGCATTTCTATCAAAATTTTAAGAAACTATAGAATTTCTTTCAGCACAAAAAGGGCCTACGTTAAACTTGGCGTTACTTTTTACAAGTGAAATTGAAACACATTTAATAGTAAATGATAGTGATAGTTCTGAAATAATTTCACTTAAGGAAAATATGCTAAAAAAACTTGCGTTACGATTTCCGGTTTGTGATCTGCAAGTAATAATATACATGTATATTCATTTATTTAATTTATTTTTTATTTAAAAAATTATCTAGGTATTGGCTTCTCTTTTAGATCCAAGATTTCAAAAATTGACAATTGTGTCAAAGTATATAGAAGAGCAAAATTGCACAACTTCAGAATTTATAATAAAACATCTTAAACTTATAGAGAATGATGATATTAAGGTAGTAAATATAGCGACTGAGGATCAAGAGGTATTATCAAATTCAAGTTATTTGACAAAACTGGCAAATAAACATTCCACAATTAACAATTATGATTCCACATTATGTGACTTAGAACAAGAATGCCACATTCTACTTGGAAAACGACATTCACAAGAAATGGGTGTTTAAAATTTTTGGAGAGAAAAGAGTGAACTTCTCAATCTTTCCAGACTGGCGAAATTCTATGTATTCCGGCGACTAGTACACCCAGTGAAAGAGTTTTCTCTACCGCTGGATTGACGTTGAATTCGAGGAGGTCATCATTATGCCCGGAAAATTTAAATAAAATAATTTTTATACATGACAATTATAAAATTGCGAAATCTTTTTTGGATGTATAATGAGTTTTCTCATAAATAAAGATTAAAAAAATATGCCAAGATATGTGTAGTGTAGTGTATATTTTAATTAAAAAAAAAATTATATAAAAATTTATAACTGCGCCGATTATCGCCGCTTTTGTTGACGGCGGCTAAAAATCGGCGCGCCGCCGGCCTTTGATAAAATATTTGAAAATCGCGCCGGCCGCCGATAGTTTCGTCGGCGCACAGGTCTATATATACATGAATCAAATTTTTTTTTTCAAGATAATGTTTAATTTTTAGTAGTAAAATTGCTTACCACTCCACCTGTTCTGGGGTTCCTGTGCATAAAAGGGGGGCCCCTTATGTGATTCCACATTTGCCCAGATATCATGATGAAGATGAAAAACTAAAATAAGCACAAAAAAATAGAATTATAAAATTTTATATTAATAATCCTTTTTTTATTGCTCTTTTTAAAAATAACAATATTATTTTGAACTTAAAATCATATTTGAAATGTCAAATTATCTTTAAATCATGTTAAATAATATTTTGATAATATCATATGTTTAACTAATGAAATGGATGCCCATAAATTTGACTGGTATAAAAAATTGAGATTATTTCTTCTTAAGTATAGCAGTCCCCCAATTAAGAAACATAACAAAATAAGCGCCACAGTTCCTGAATAACTTGGTTGTCTCAAGATATTTATCTATAATATATTTTATATATAATTTAAAATGAAAGTAAAAACTTGAATTTCAATATGTGTGTAAATAAATTTTGCTAATTTTTCAGCTGAAATTCCCTCCCTATAATATTTAATGACAAAAATACATTTTATTATTCAATTACGTCTGGATATCAAAAACTTCATAATACTTCTTCTTACCCTTTGGTGGAAAAAGATAAAAGGTTGGGACCGAATCAATATTAAACTTTTAATAATAAAATGTAAAAAAAATTAATAATTAAAATAATACAGAATTAAATATTTCATATCCATCTTCATGATCTATCATAGTAAAAAAAAGAGCATTTGAAAGTGAATTAGATAATCTCCAGGAGTTAGCTAATATTGTGTATTCTTCATATACTGGTCTAAATAATTTGTAGTTATAAATTAAAAAGGGAATATAAAGTTCTACCTGCATATAGGACAATTTCTCTTAGTAAGTGCTGTAAACATCACCATTACGGTATAATTTCGAGCGCCTATTTCCACATATTGTTGAAATTTTATGTTATTAAATGGAATAATAGCATCTTTAAAGGACATTTCATATAATCGACGACATTTTTCGCCCAAACTGATCTAAATTAGATATATCATATAAAATTAGACAACTTAAAGTGATATAACCTCATATTTGAAACTAGATAGATGAGGTATATAAAGAAATATAATTAAAAAACTAAAGAAATCTAGCATATGCGGCATCATGATTATTTTTAAAATTAAATTGATATAAACAACTAATTTACTTGGTATATAAAAAAAAATGATTGACAATATCCGATGTCACGATCAGGTGGCCAAACAGGTGATAGAGGTGATATTTATTATCATAGAATTTTGTTAAAGATAATTTTAATAAAAACAATTTATGTAATTAAAAATACTTAATTAATTAAGCGTATATGTTCATTGCGTTGTAAATAAAATAGAGCTTTCGGTATTCCTCATTTCCATCTAACTGGATATAAAATATTGGTGATATTCTTCATGAGGATCCCTCTATCTACTGGTATGTGTGCAGTAGTATTGCTAAAAAGTCCGGTTTGGGTTAATCTCAAAACGGCCCGATTAAAATTTTAGCACAAATAATCAACATCGAGATTTAGCAAATAGATGGTCAAAGCAATATGCAAAATCTATAAGCTTACAAATGCTGTTATAATCAAATCGGACCGTTTTTCAAATCGACCTAAATCAGGGGTTTTAACAACACTAATTTAAATTTGAAACTAAGTCACTTTTGTCATTTTGTGAAAAGAATTATGGTGTTGATAGAATGCAATTAGAAATTCAATGGAAATTCATTTTAGATAATAAGATTAAATATTAAATAATGTTTCTATCTATTTCTTAAATCAGTTTAATTTCATAAATTGTTTACAATGATGTTTAATTCGTTTATATTTTTTAAATATTTGCTCAATGCTTTCACATTAAATGAGGTGCCAGGTTATGGAATCGTGAATTAAGTTATGATACAAAAATTAAATGTATTATCAAAGAAAGAGAGAAATTTAATGTGTGTATACGAGAAATTTTAGTTTCCATATCATTTGAGAAATAATTATATATGAGATTAGTGAGCACAACCATCTTTTTCACCATATAAAATAGTAAATACGCTGGGCTATCTCTTTCTATATCATTAAGTCAAGAAATAATTTATAATAAATCCTTGAGAAAAGCCCTTAATCAGAAATTGAGCTGACTAAACTAAAAGAAGTTTGATTTAAGTTCTTTAATGGCGAGTTTGACAGAAATAGAAGCATTGTTTTGGGTTCCTAATTTTAAGGGTTACTTGTTGGCAAGTTTTTTAAAATAAAACATCGGACTTATATCTCAAATGTTGTTAGCTTTGTTAGGGCAATTCAGGGGCGTCGTTAGGCTTTACAATCTCGAGGAAATCAACTAAAAAAAATTATGGGGGAGGGGCTTCGCTCCCTATCCCTACTAATTTGCGTATTCTGAATTTCATATTTTGTCATTTATTATATTATGCATACAAAATAAACTAGCATATTAATAATTATAATAATACAAGACATTTCAAAAAATAATATTTTTTAATACAACATTTATTTATTACAGTATAAATTATTTTCGATTGCTGATATAAAAAAAATTGATTCAAAGAATTACAAGTGATAAAAAAAAGACTTCTTACATATGCCTGAATATAATATAATTCTTAGCAACTTAAATTGGGAAAAGGTCAAGAAACTAATATATATTTCTGTTACCATTTTAGACAATGTTTTATAGAATATTCTAATAAGGAAAATTTTATAGGACTAACCATATCAACAATTCTTAAATCAGAGAATATAAACCACCAATCCAAATCATAAAACTATATGATGGTTAGATCTTCCTCTTAGATGACATGATGGAAGCTAGATAAGTAATCGAAAAAATTATTGTGAGATATTAAATTTCTAAAAGATTGTTAAATAATACATTATTTATATTTTAACGTTTAAGGCGTTATTTATAAAATGATCAAATTTTTTGACATAAAGAAATATCGAATATCTATGATAAAACTTAAATAATATCATCGTTTCACAATCAAATCAATACTATATCTTTTTCATATAACATTTGTAATCTATACGACTATTACATTACGCATTGTAACAAAAATTATTTTTCATCTTTAGTAATATATAAATGACTACATCGTTTACCATTATTGCTTATCTAAAATATGCAGTCATATGCTCTTAGCATCTAGAGTAATAATCTTAACTTACATAGCCACACAAATAATAGATGCTGGTTTTTGCAGTCATAACCATGACACTCACGATGTTATCTCATTTCAGAATTTATTATGTTAGATAAATTGGTAAAATAAAAACACTAAAAATCTTTAGAAGAAATCATGCAAATATATTGAAGCCTTAAGTTATTTAAACAGCAAAGATGCCATATTAGAAATAAAAAATTTTGTAACAATAAAATAAGAACCAGAGTGATATGATGAAAGCAATTAAGATTTTATATATTATTGTCGCATAATCTCTAGTTGGTATATTATATCTTAAAATAATAGTAGTTTGCAATAATATGAAAAATATATTAGTATTAAACATTTAACTCAAAACTGTAAGAAAAAAATAGCTTTCCTAAAAACACGTAAAAAAGAAATGAAAAGATATCTAATTTATTACATCTATTAATTTTTAATAATATTTTAAAATAAATAGATGGCGTTAAAGAATGGAATGCAAATTGTTACTTATATTTATTATAAGTATTTATTAGTAAAATTATTAAAATATTAACTGTAATATATTATATAACTGTCAAATACGTCTGTAAAAGTGGCATTTTACCTAGAATAGAGAATTATAAACTATACAAGCTGATAACCAATCAAGAATGACGGGGTTGACAATGTTAAATATATAGTTCATTAATATATTTTATAAAAATAATTAAAATTTCGAAAAAAGAGGTAAATTTGTAGATCATACCTCATAAGATATGCTTAATTTCTGATTCATCTATCATCGAATAAGGGAGAAAGGCATGATGTCCCGTCTTTACAATATCTTGTTGACTCTCAGTATTAAAAAGGGGGTTAAAGAGATTTTGTTTAACCGCCAAATGGGAAATTTGAAATTGTAGCAGATATTTTTGAACGTCAAAAATTTCAAACCCTTCAGTAATCATATTAGGCTCCCAACCAGAATCTCCATGAGGAAATAATATAGGGTAAACCATTGGGTCTAAATTAGGACTTAACACGTTATGGATTACTAAAAAATTTATATATCGTTTAAAGGGACGTTCTCCTACATCATTTGTAGATATTATACCTAAGTCATCAAATGTAAATTATACCACCGACGGTCGCTAGAACGATTTTCGCGAAATCTCATATTAATCATTAGCAGTAATACATTTGAATGTTTTGCAAGGAATAACTCAGCTTTCTCAACTTCACCTAAGGTTTTGAAACTTAAAGCATATGGATCAACATCAACACATTTAAATGTCTCATGATATTTATATCACAATCAGAATTGGCAGGGTGCTGAAGACGTCCTGCAATGGCCTGAGATTATCTAGTACATACTGAGCAAATTTATGTATAATATTAGTATGGGGATATAGATGAGATGTGCGATGATAAATTTGATCAAGAACTTTAAAACAGTAAGGCCTATTATGCAAAGGCAATAGAACTATTGTAAGAACGAATATGACGCATAAAATTTTTGTGCAAGGGATTTAAAGATAAATAAAAGATTTTTTAAAAATCAGGATATTGAATAAGTTTGACTTTACGCATATGACAACAATGGGTGAATTTACCATCTGAAAGTCTTTTGGCTAAAAAATTAAAAGATTGACGAAATTGGCATATTAAATTCATAGGAACACAGTTATATTGCTCCACTAATGGATTAATTTTAGGGAAAATGCTAGAAAAGATCATTTGAATTTTTTTCCTAAATCTTCTAGAGCAAGGGTGAATCATATCAGATTTATCTTATAATAATAAAGTGTTATAGAATAGCTATTAAATGCCCTTTTATTTAAATAACCAATCTTAAAAACATATAAGTGTATATTTATATTTATAAAGCATAAAAGGGGTAAGTATTATACTGGTCATTAGTGCCCATGAATTTATAAGTCACGAGCATGGTTTTTCTTTTTATCTGACTATTTAGCTTTCTAATTTTTATAAATTTTAACTATATAGGTGAATAATTTCTTATTTTTATATATTTTTATATGTTTCGAAATTCTTAGATATTGATATATTAATGTATCAATTTATTAATGTATCAATTTGGTATTTACTTTATTTCCACAAAAAAATAGAATAAAAAAAAATATAATAATCATAATTCTTCTTTTTCAGGGTTTTTATAACCCACATAAATAATAATAAAAAAAAATATTGATAAAAACAAATAATATTGATTAAAAGAAATAATATAGACCAAAAAAAAATAATATTGATTAAAATATTGACAACAAAAATATTCAAAATGACTTGCTATAAAAACAAAAAAAATATTTACAACACGCCCCCCATTAATTACAATTAAACCTGCTATATAAAGAGAAAAAAAACTAACATGAAAACACAAAAAAATAACAATGACGCGAAGTGAACAACACTATTGTATATATATTATCGCACATATGTTTCCCCCTTTTTTTATTTATTTTACAATTATATATTTATCTTTATTTTTTCTTATACTACAAAAAAAAATCCTAGTACATATAATAACAATCTTCTTACTGTTCTGTTCTCTAAACAATTCCTCTAACTCCTCGGCCGATATATCAACTAACGGCCATTCTTCCTGCCATTCAGCGTTGTTGTTAGAATTTGGTGCTGTCTCCCACGACGGTTCCACTACCGCCACCGGTCGCTCAGTCTCCAACTCCCCCGTAGTTGTTTGTATGTTTTCCGCTCTTGTCAACGCGGGTAACACGGTCCGAACTGGCCAGGCTCCTCGTCTCCGCTCCCCACTATCACTTTCATCCCTTGCTCCTATGAAATTTCTTCTGTCATCATACCTTCTCACAAAAGCATGGCGGGGCCCACGGGAGCATCGAACTTGCAAGTGACCTCGGGCTCCACAGATAAAGCATAATCTATCATTCCTTATCGTGCGCCTGCCCGAATTATTGGGTTCGGGCAATTCGGACTCTCGCCCCCTTCCGTTGATCATTTCAAATGGCGCTATTTGTCTTCTTCGCGGGAATCTGAGAATGGGTCTCGA